ATTATATTATATTATATTATTATTATTATAATGATTATTATAATTATTATATTAGAATTATTATTGGGAATATTAGTGGTTGAAATAAGTAAAATAAGAGGTGGAAGGGTTATTGGGAGGTTAGAATGGAAATATGAAAAGTCATGATAGAAACCGTGAGGAAGGAAATATGAAGGGGTAGCAAGGAGATATTAGAAAAGTTGGAATAGAGAGAAAAGGGATTACCATAGATCGTGGGAAATTGGTGTGATAATAATAATAATAATAATATTATTATTATTATTATTATTATTATTATTATTATTATTATTATTATATTATTATTTTTATTAGTTATTATTATTATTGGGATAGGAAATAAAAAGGAAAATAGAATATGAAGGGGTGGGGGAAGTATTAGAGAAAATAACACGATAGAAAGAGGGAAGAGAGAAAGAGCGATAGAAAGAGAGAAGAGGAAAGAACGAGAGAAGTGAGAAGAACGAAGGAAAAAGGGAACGAAGAACGGAAAGAAAAGAGGAGGCCAAGAGACCAAATCCAGGAAGAATTTCATCGATCAACCGATTAACAAGGTAAGGGGGGAGAAACTTGATTGGGAATGGTATATACATGTATAGGGTAGTGGGGATTCCTTAACCCCGTAGGAATGTATCGTTGATGAAGTTTTATATTGACATGCTATTGATTGTTGAGTTATGTTGATGTGGATGGATTGAAATATGTTGAGTGTTGGTGAATTGTTGTTTTTGGTTAATTTGGCGTATAGGTTGGGTTTACGGTTTTAGGGAAGTTCTGTGTGACCTTTTTGATGTGTCGATAGATTGTTTAAGTGATGACTTTGGAATAATATGTATATGATGATGTACGGATGTTTGATGTTGGATGTTTGATGTTGCCATTGTTGATTGACTGTTGGTGTTGGTTTGGTTTGAGTAAGGTTCAGAGTAACTCTAAAGTGTCGGTAGTGTGCCGTAATGTTGATCTGGAGTAGAATTATAGGAAGATTGATAAGCCTAATATGCATTGGTCGTAATACGGATAGTATAGGAAGTGGATGTTATAGAATAGGCTTGAATCAGAGAAGAGTGAGAATTCTGAACTGTGAGAACTAGAGAAGTCGCAGGCAACTCGCTAGCACTTCGCTTAGCGAGAAGGCAGCGAACGTTTGCTAGGTGCTCGCCTAGCGAGTGAGGTAGCGAGTGAGTCCAGTAGGTTCTGTTTGCCTTCGCGAGGAGGTTCGCTAAGCGAACAGGTAGCGAGCATTCGCTGGGAGCTCGCCTAACGAGGGTGTAGCGAGCGTAGCAGAATGGGGTTTTTCTATGCTGTTATACTGTGTGCGCTAAGAGTGTAGTGCCCTTGGACTTTGTTGATTATAGGGGAGATGATTGAGTGTTCTAGAGTGAGTACTCGGTGATAGTATGTGATTTCCGTTACTAATTATTTAAATGGATAATTAGTTGGTGTATGAATCATGCGGAGCATGGTGTAGTGATCAGTAGGATCGTGTATTCCCGAGTGGTGGGACGTGTTTATATCTTGGTGATAAAGTATGAACTTGTTTACTTGGTGATGGTACTCGTTTTCCTTGATATTGTTGGTGAACAATTGGTTAACGTATATGTATGTAGTGATCAGTAGGATCGTGTGTTCCCGGGTGTTGGGATGTGGTTATATATGGTGTTATAGTATGAATTTATTTACTATCTGATTGATTTATATGGTGTTGGTGTAATATATCTACACATATATGCATTGATGTATGATGATATGATCAGGAGGATCGTGTGCACTTAGTGTGCCTAAATATGATAGTTATGCATTGGTGTGTGCATATCATGGTGTTTTGGTGGGATGAATCATGTCTCAGGAGGAGCGTAAGTGATTCATCCGTACTCCTTGGTGGAGAATGGTGGGGGATAGATCATGTCTCAGGAGGAGCGTAAGTGATCTATCCAGGTTCGATTGAATGAACCAATGAGTCGGTACCGCATGCATGGTGTTGAGTTGCATATTTGCATTATAATATGTTATATTGTAATTTGAACAGTAGGTTCGTTATATGGAGTTGGTGGGGTGAATATTGGTGTGTTGGTGTGTTTTACTACCTTGTTTACATGTATTACATTACCAATATATTTTTGATCATGTTTTCTCACCCCTTGGTTGTTGTTGTGTCTGTGCTTCTCCGGAAGTACAGATAATCCAGGTACTTAGATAGCTTGGATGGTGGTGTGCCAGTCGAGTCTAGGATGCTCTGATACGTAACACGGGATATGGGTGTTTTAATTGTTTTATGTCAAACTTGTTGTAATCCTGTGACGTATCACTTTTTTTTTGTGAATTATAATAATAAAGATTTTACGAAATTTGGCGGATGGCCGAGAATGTTGGAATAATGTTTTCCGCTGTATTATTTTTGAGAATAATTAATAAAGTATTTTTATAAAAATTTGGTGATGTGATATCCCACTATTTTGGGGAAAACTCTGATGTTTATTTATAATGTTTATATTTTATTTAATTTGGGAAGTGGGGTGTTACAAAGAACAAACTAAAATTGATCCAAGAATCACTTATAAACTTGGTTCCAAGATCAGATCCAAATCCAAACGAAAATCAAGTGATGAATTGAATATGATGGAGATGAATGATGGAGGTTTATCTCTAGAATTCAATGATTCCAATGAAGAATTAATAAACTCAAGTGTAAAGAGATTTAATGGAGGTTTTAGGAGTGTAGAAAAGTTGAGAGAATTTTGAGAGCAAATTCTCAAGGAGGGAGTGTGAAATCTGAAAATGGAAATTATGGTGAGGTTTGGAGGCAATTCACTTAAATAAGCTCTTGGTTAGGAGTAGAATTATGGTTTTGATTGAGGTTATAAAAATTGGAATGGGATTAGGAATGGAAATTGGAGGGAATTTGAAAGTTAATCCATATTTAGAGTGATTCTAGATCCTTCTTCTGGTGTAAAATCAAATTTACAGGTGATCAAAATAGACCCCAAAAGTGGCAACATTGAAAATGCACATTATTGGGCAAATTTTCCTTTGGTTAATCAATTAACCATTTACTAGTGCAAAATGGTTAATCGGTTAACCACTCACAAATTTTCAAAAATAGCGCCATTTGGAGGAAAACTTGCGCATTCGCCCGTGTTCACCCGTTCTGAGCCTTGTTAAGCCTCTAAAACTTGCCCTTGGATATTATAACTGTGAGAATGCATGGGATAACCTGTGCTGAAACAATCTATTGGATAAAATAAAATCGGCCATTCGATTGTTGGGTATTTGTTATTATAAATATGTATCTCTTATATGCTTGGTGTGTGACAATCTTAGAGTTTTCACCAACAAGGGAGACCAAAGGTTTAAGGGTATAGCATAGGGTTTCAGTTATGTACAAAGAAAATCTTGAATTACACATTGGGTTTGAGTGATTCATATATTGAGAGTTGGAGAGTTTGGGAAACACTTGGGTAAAAAATAGGGTTGTTCTTGGGCGCCTTCAGGGTTGTTCTTGGAAACCTGAAGGTGAAGACTATTTTCTTGTAACTCATTTATAATCTCTTGTAACAACTTTCTGAGTATAGTGAATTGGAGAACTGCTCTCTCCCCAAGAGTAGATCGGTTGATCGAACTGGATAAACAAACCATCGATTTTTTCTTTCCTTATTCTGTTATATTATCTGTGTACGGATTATTATTGCTGAAGACCATTTATTTTGGTTGCTATTATTCTTTTCCTCACAAATTGATATTGAATTTGTCGTAATTCACAACAAGATTCACAATAAAATTCAATATATTTATAAATTTTCGGTAGCTATAGGAAATTTTCGGTATTGCCCTAAGATTTGAAATTTTCGCCGCTGGACTATGAATTCCAAAATTTTAAAAAATGAATTTGCAGGAACAATATCGTATTTTCATATGCATTGGGAGAGGGGCATGTTAGGTCTAACTGGGGGTATCAAATTAAATCCTCGATATTTTTTCATACATATTGTTTCTCGCGCTTTTGTTAAGATACCATTAATTTTCTTAGATTTCTTCTTTATTTCTATGTGTTAGGAAAATTATTTCAAACTTCTCATCTTTTTCTTTTACAAGTTGGTCTTCTTTACTACTCTAAATTTTGAAGTGTAATGACCAAACTTTTAACAATTATAGTATTGACTTTAGAATTTATAATTTCTTGTGTGTATGTCTCTCTTCTACATTCAAGATGTCGTGAAACACATCGTCATCCTCGACCTCTACCTTGACTTTATTGACATCTCACATTTCTTTGAATTTCTTTCATTCTTTAATTTTTTTTTTTACATCTTAAATATTTTTCGGTGATCTCTTTCACCCTGTGTTTCTAATGACCCTTTAATTTCTCAATTGTCATAATCTCTAAATCTTATTTTTTAGATTATCACAGCAATGAACTCAAATTTTGGTGATTGACATGTAACATCTTGATTTTCATTTAATTTGATGAAGTAATTATGTTCATAGTCTTTTTCATGGATTCATCAATTTCGAATTTTAGATCTGAATTTTTTAAAAAGTTTTTTAATTTATGTATTAAACTAATTCTTAAATATATAGAATTAATAATAATATTAATAATTTTTATTACTTTATTAACAAGAAGAGACTAGGAGAGTATACTTAATATTTTTCATCTTTATGTTTATTAACGTAAAAGAATATTAAAACATGTTTGTTTATTATTAACTTTTCAGGTGATACCGTGATAAACATCTTTTTTATACGTAATTTATTTCAGACATTTAAAATCAGAAACTCAAATTAAAATACATCACTAGGTAGATTGATACAACAATACATCAAGAGACAGTGAATACAGTAGGTAGACCTTGTACAAGAGGATAGGACCACATGTAAGATGATCCTATATCACTCTCATTTATATTTTTATTCTTAATATTAAACTCTCAGATACTAGTGACAAATTTCCATATGATAACCATGAAACCGCACCATCATCTTCAAAACTTAACGCTGTAAACATAAACAAATAAAAAATCCAGTTAGTAGTTAATTTCATATTTTCACGTACTTCAAAATAAACCAACAGAAAAATAAGAGTGAAAGTTATAAAAGACATACGTGTTACAGTTGGTGGAGGTACTGATCTTGTAAGGAATGCTGACACCACATTTACCAGGGAGAACAGCAGCATTGTTTGGATTCAAATTAGAAATAGCACCGGCAGCTGATTTCAAGCAGTTACAGGCAGCCTGACGATCAGGCGTGCTGGCGGCGGCACTAAGAAGCTTCTTAACTCCTGCACAGCATGCTGGTGGAGGACTAGCAGTATTAGGACCTTCAAGATAAGCTAGGCATGGAGTCATATCACTGGTTACAGTTCCACATGTCAAAGCAGCTTCTGCCATAGGCGCAATCACTACCATGCAAATCACCAAAACAACACATGCTAACTTCAAGCTTCTTGCCATTTTTGTTTTCTTTCTTTTCAATTCTTTTTCTTGGTTTGTTTGATTGGTGTCTGTATTGTTCTTATGCGTGAGGGTTTATATAGAAAATAAGATAAGGTGTGAAGATGAGTAGAGTGATGAATTATTGGTGAATGTGCATCAAGATGGGGTTGGTAGTTGGATTGAATTAATGATGTATGGTGCATGATCAATAAATATCGTCCACCTGTCTCACTATCATACGTTTTTATTTAATGATTTGGTACACGGTTAGATTTGATGATAATGACGGTGGGACCCACGTATGAACTCTCCACCCTACTCTTTATTACCCTTGTCGTTGTTTTTTCAAAAATCCAATAAAATTATATTAAAGAAAAAGCAAACCAAAATATTATAACTCTGAAATAAAGTAAGAGATAAAAAGAGAAATACATGACCATTGTTAGAATACTTTTACTAGTAGGACCGTAGGGGGACTAGACCGATATCGGCAAATGTTGATTTCAAAATATTTTGGAAAGAAATGCGAAATGCAATGATTCTAGAATTTTCAAAAAGAAAGTTTGAAAAAAGATATGGGAATGCTAAAGTTTTAAAAATCTAGGCTCAGATGAGTTAAGTTTGAAAAGAGTGTTGGATAGACATCAAATACCAAAGAGGGTTACCAAAGAATTCCATTCAAACAAAAGGATTGTAAAGGGAGCAAACTGCTCATCTTTTGTTCTAATACCGAAGAAAAACAATTTGACGAGAATATCAGACCATAGATCAATTTCTGTAATAAGATGTATATACAAAGTCATAGATATTGGGAAATAGAGTGAAAAAAGAGATGGACACGATCAATTTAAAAAATCTACCAGCTTTCATTTTCAGAAGATAAATTATGAACGGTATCTTGGTGGCAAACAAGGCATTATATTCGGGTGAATGGAATTTCATATTATTTATCAAAGAATGTCTAAGTTCTTCAATCTCGGTGTTGACAAATGGGAGCCCAACAAAGGAGCTTAAGTTGGGTAGAGGTCTAAGACAGATGAATCCACTATCCCCATTTGTTTTCTTGATCGTAACAGAAGGCTTTAGTATTAGGATGGGGAAAGCTGAGGACATAGTCAACACTTCCTTTGTCTTAGGAAAGAATATGTCTGAAGAAAAACTAGTCAGAAAAATCTCCATATTACTACCTAAAAAGTTTGATATGAAGGTTACAACTATTGAAGAAGCTCAAGACTTAAACAACATCAAATTTGATGAACTCATTGGTTCTTTACAAACCTTTGAGATAGCTATAAGTGACATGTCTGAAAAGAAAAAAAATATATATATATATATAGCCTTTGTATCCAACACTAAAGAAAATTAAGATCAATGTTAAAAGGATATTAGAGAAAGTATCTCAGATTCTATAGCTCTCTTTGGTAGAAAGTTTAACAAATCGTTGATGAAACTGGACATAGTGCCATACAACTTCAAGAACATTGGTCTCCGATGCAAGAGAAAATATAAAGATAAACCAAACGAAGACAAATGGATACAATGTCATGAATGTGAAAGTTTTGGTCACATTAAAGCTGAATGTACCACGTTTTTAAAGAAGCGGAAAAGGGGAATGTTAATCACTTGGTATGATTCTGAAGATAAGATTCAAGAAGAAACAACTAATAGGATGATGGCTATTGTCGCGGTGAAATTTGGATACCAAACTATTGATTAGTTTGAATCTTTATTCATTTTGCAATCGAACTTTGATTTGTACAAAGGAAGGGATAAAGATCGAAATTCCCACAATGCAATGCACATGCAAAGGTTAGAGAGTTTTAGGTTCGGGGGTTGGTTAAACTTAGGGAAGGTACTAGCATCCTAAGTTTCTGTAGTATCCTACAGGAACCTCTTGTTTTACGTTTGTTTATTGCTAAGTGTTTATCTGCTTAAGGTTTAAAAGACCTAGGGGTTTATTTCTAAGTATACTCGATAAGATGTCGCATCTTATGCCTACATATCCTTACGGGAGTGGAATCAGAGTATCTGTAGTTCCCCTAAAGGGTTAGAGGAGCTCTTTGACTGTGGTCAAAGTTCCTACGGGTTTAGGGTAGTTGTTTTGAATGGGTTTAGTAGAAGAGATGAGTTTTCATGTTAAGGGAGATGTAACCACCACAAGTGTAAAGAGGGTTGTAGGAAAATGGTCTTTGCATCGTCTTAAGAAAAGGGCTTAAGTACTCGGATTGTTTGACGAGTGTGCCTTTATCGCTCTTAAGGCAAAGTCCCTACATGTTTGATTGTATTGTTGTGGGGGTGGAGATTATATCTCACTTAAGATGATTAACATCTATTCTCTATTGTGTTTGAAAAAGTTGTATAATGTTGTTTGTTTGTCTAAGTTGTAAAGATAAAAGACAAGGTCCTTCCTATGGGGTAGGATCTATCCTAAAAGATCGACTTGAATGGGATCAAGGATCAAAGGGGAGTATGATGCAAATGTAATGCACTACACACAAGTGTTGACTCATGTGTAGGGTTTTCCTTTGGACAGATGCAATGCAATAATGTAAATTGCGATAATATAAATTGCGGGTAATGTAAAACATACACAACGCATGAAAGCGCTGAAGTGTGTGAGATTGAATGTGTCGTAGATGTGAATGTGCGCGATTGATTGTTGATTCAATTTTATTTTAGTTGAGTTGATTTTCAAGAAGGAAATTGGAATTGATTTTAAGAAGTTATATTAGTTCATTTGAATCAATTTGTAAGAAAAATAAATTGTATTATTTTGATTAATTTTGAGAAAGGTTGATTTTAAGAAAAAGGTTATATTATTTGATTTAAGAAAAGTGTTGAATCATTTGATTTGAATAAAAGTTTGGCCTTAATAATAATTTTATAAGAAGAAGTTTGGTTGTGATTTGATTTTAAGAAAATTAATAACTAATTTAGATAATAAAAAGTTTGTTATAATTTATTTTTAAAAGGGTGATCAAAAAATTAATTAAGTGGATTAATTAATTGATAATAAAATAAATAGTTTAAGTTTAAAAAGGTGATTTATTTAAAGATTAATTAAATAAATAGTAAAAAAGATAAAACTAAATTAATTAGTTAAATAATTATTAGTTTATTTTGAAAAAGATTGATTATAGTTATGATTAATTAAATAAATAATAAAAGATTAAGTGGGTTGATTTTGGGTTATTAGTTAGTGATTGAAGGTTTAAGGGGCACGGTGAGTGGTGAGTGTGTGATTAAGTGTGTTGTGTAGTGTGTGATTAGAAGATTACAACAGTTTAACCAAAATTACATGCAAAACCCTAAATCCCCGAAGAAGGCCCCAATTCCCCTTCTGCGCCGCTCCTGTCTCGTTCGCCATCTTTCACAAATCTCCTTCGATTTCTTTCCCTTTTCTCGCCTTTCTTCCCTCTCGATTTCTATCTCTTCACCATTTTCAATTCCCTTTCTTTGTTCCTGAAAAAAGAAAACGTAAAGTGAATCAACAATCAAAAAAACATCTGGATTAAACTTACGGTGGTATGTTCTTCTTTTCAGGGTTCCGCCATGAGGGATTTCAGGTCCACGAAGCCGGCGATGGCGTTTTGAAAGAGTTCTGGCGATGTCTCTATGGTGTGAATGACGATTCGTGGTGATGAAGGCGAAAGGACTCAGAAGGTGGATTTGCGGCGGCTGATCCACGACACCGACGACGAAGAAGATAAGTCTTCTTTCCACAAAATTATTTAGGTTTTGTTTGATTTTGGATTTCGGTTTGCTGCTTATTTTCGAATCTGGTTTGAGGGGATTGTTGAATTTGGGATTTTCTGTTTTGAATTTGTTCGTGAACTCCCCTTTCTCATCCTGATTTCTTATGCTTTTATAGGCTGTTTCCAATCAATAAGGCTTTGAATGATCTTCTGGATTTGGTTAGACATGTGTGGACCATTTTGGAAGGTAAATCATCTCTGGTTTAATTATGTTGGCTGCCTTTGTGAAAAACTTTAATCCAAATAACTTCTGTTAAACCTTGTTTTGGAAACAAATATGTGCTGAGTTATGGTTTATGATTGCATTCCGATAAAATTGAATCTGTTTCCATTCTCGTCTGGTATGTCTGATTTTGTAGATGAAGTGGTGAATTGCTATCCTTTCTCAAATGGATGTGTTAATTTTTGTCTCAAATTCGTTTCCCTTTTCAAATGAAACGTGTCCAAAGGGACAAATCTATTTACTTTCCATCTTTCTGATTTATTATTCTTTTAACACACCTTACCACTACTGAGTTTTCATGCTGTCTCTTTTCAGACGATGCTTTGGAAGAGTTTTGAATACGACTGAGATTGATAGGCAACTCTGAGTTGAACGACAAGTTACATCATTACGGCGTGGAGTGGTAATAGGTACGAAACTAGTTAAAGGTTGATGCTGCTTGAATTTAGACAACATCATTTGAGCATCGGTAAGAATTTCAACTCATAGATTCCTTTGTTTTTCAAAAGATTTTACGGTTTGGTATTCTAACGCCTCTTTTCTATTATGTGTGCACCATGAAACCTTGTGAGTGATGGAAAAAAATAGGTGTAAGAGCAGCAACATGAAGCTTTCCTTATTCTTGGCAGATCAAAACTGAGATCCTGGTGGTCCACGAACGGACTTTCCACCGCGATTCTTGAAGAAGGCAAGATAACTTTTCATCAAAGTGATTTTCTCTGGGGAACCACCAATTGTATTAGAAAGTAATTGAGAATACTGGCCACTCTATCAGCCATCTCAGGAAGCAGGAAAGGAGCAGTAATCTGACATTACAGCCTTTTCCTCCTCTTCAGCAATCTGTCTCCAAGAATTACAATGACTAGGGACATTTCACAAGTATTCAAGAAGTTCAGCAATATTATGGCAGATGTTAAACTTATCGTAGAACTGCATGTGAGAACCGGTGAACCTAATATCAACATAAAGTTTCAGAAGATTCCTCACAAGATACTCAAGAGACAGTCGGCGCCCAATACTTGTGTATATGACTCATAATC